AATAATAGTATATTATATTATGAGGAGCTAAAGTGATACTTTTTATGGCGAGTCAGTGTTTGATGGCCGAGCGAAGCGAGGCCAGCAAAATACTGACGAGCCATAAGAAGTTACTTTAGCTCCGCATAATATATGCTATTTTTTCTTCAAACGTGAGAATAACGCCCAAATAATGGTTTTCAAATCGGAAGAAATATTAACCCGATCGTTATGGGTAGCCGTGAGCGCGTCGGCCGTGGTGACTATAACAATTGCTATAGTTGGCCATTATTAGTTTTGACGTTTTAATTGTGGACGAGTTTTTCGATTTCAAATAAAAATGAAATTGCACAAAAGATACTTTCGACAACTTTAGAAAATCCAGGTTTATCAGATGGAATGACTTCAACTACTCCTTCATTTGAAGCAGAAACCAATCCAGTTTTTTGAAAATACTTCATTCATTCATTAGAAATAAGACGAGCCAAACAAAACTTGACTCTTCAAAACTTGGATGCTGCAGGAACGAAGGTTTAATTTCAATAATGGTAATATGACTAACTGAACTTTCAACATTAACTATTATTTAAATAAATAAATAGCTTCTTTGATCGACTATATTTTTATTTCTGTTAAAATCAGAAGGAAAGATCAACGCACTTGCTAGGTGAACCAAGAACCTAATGTAAATAACATCAACTTGTCAAAGCAAAACAATGTGACACTGGCACTGAAGCGTTTTATTGCCTAGGCACTAAAATACTTCACTGCCGCTTGTTCGATTGTTCTAAAAAGTCAAACTTTAACTCAGAGTGCTGGGCTACGTAATGTCAATATTATATGACGTTTGAAGAAAATAGTTATTTGTTTCATTAGTACAAAAAATGTCAGTTTTCGGGACGAGGAAGACAGTTGATGGACGACGCGTTAGCGGAGTCCAGCAACCTTCCGAGTCCCGAAAACGCATTTTTTGTACGAATAAAACATAAAATTTTTTCTCCAACCCCCTTTACTTTAAATTATATTCGAATTTAGATTCAGTTCACAGTTTCACTACTAGTTTGAGAACTTCTGCTTTCTTGTCCTCACGTGTCATGCCACTCTAGTATTTAGGTTAACTTATAACCTATTCGTTCTTACTTCTCACCTCTCGCGACTTTGTAGGGAGCAAATCTAAGGTAGCATGTTCTGCCGTTTTTATAATCTCTGGCGGAGTGCTATCCATGTCGCTATCAGTTTCAGACGTTTCAGTCATTTCTGTTGTATACAAAATTAATATTGTTATATTTTGTATTGAAATAAAAACCTTACCATACAGTTTTTTAATTAAAATGAATTGCAATTAACTTTTTCAAATTTTGAATTCAAAATGACAGATAATAGTACAATGTGTCTTAAGTAGATGGCGTTACGCGCGACGGCGGGTTGTATACGTATTAAAATTACGTTCACCGAATATGTAAATTACGTTACACATGGTTTAAATAAAAATAGCGAGCGTAAATCATTTCCAATGCATGTACATACGTATAGGTAACAGCATTATTTGTATTGAATATGCAAAAATATTTGATTTCTACGTATAGGAATATCTTACAACCTGCAATGTAAAACGATGTCAATGTGACATATCTCCGTGATTGTAATTTTTTAATTGGCCAACTTTCAAGGTCAATTTCTTTTTGGTACTAGGACCAAAAGTATCCACTTTTTGTACAGTTGCCATGGTGATAGCGATTAATCCGCAAAACGCCAATTTTACGTATCGAATACTGTCACAAAATAGCGTCTTATTCAGGTGGTTGGAGAAAAAAGCAATTAATTGCACAAACCTTAATTGAGATCCATTGACAAACGTGTGTACGATTTAAATTGAATAGACCAATAAATAAATTACTCTTTTAACTTCAACGTAAATAGCATTTTGAGACATTACAGGTGAAAGAGAGAAAAGAACTCGGTTATGATAATGTAGGTCCGTCATAAATATCAGTGATAATGCGCACACGCGCTACCTACTGTACATATTAAAAATACAAAGAGTACCTACGCGCGAGAACCTAAATTATGATCAGGATATGGTAGATATGCATGTTAAATAAAAGAAAAATTCATACTCACATCTTACAATAAGAGTTACGGGATTACTTGTTCCTCTTCCTTCCGCATTTGCAGCCATACACGTGAACTCCCCCGCCGTCGCTCGAGTTACACTTTGAAGAACCAAACTTTGATCGCTTAATATCACCCCCGCCGAAACGTTGTGATGAATCTCCGCGCCCTAAATCAGTTGCGGTAAGTAAATGAAAGCAAGTAATAAAAAGTAAAATATTCAGTTAAAAAGAAAAGAATTACGTACGTTGTGAAACCAGGAAAGTTTGTAGGCTTTAGGATTCGAGCGAATGTTACATTCAAAGTAAACATCGTCGCCTTCTTTAATATCTTCTGGATTCAGACTTGATCCCATTTTGAGCATTACGACAGGCATATCTGAGAAAAAAGACATCTAAAGTTTTAACAACTTTCGGCTTTGAATTGAAGTATTTACATCGTAAAGTATTACTAACAGCCCAAATACTCGCAAGTAACAAATGAAATATTTTCCTATTTATTTAAGTTAAAATAAGTTTCTGTTTATGTAAGCGATACTCATTAAAATTAACTGAAAAATCAATTTATCTTGCGCGTTCCTTTACTCGGTTTCTTTCTTATGTATTCAAATATTTTGCTCGAGATGTTCCTTCATTTAAAAATGGAAAACCGCATACTGAATAATTTAATTTTGTGTTGGTTTTTCGAGTATTTCATATCGAAGCGAGAGTTTTCTAAACCTACTACAAGTTTCGGCGTTGTCAGAATGTCACACGCAAGCTGTAGTATGAACATATGTCAATAGAATATTTCTTCTATTTAATTAAAAAATCGTGAAAATTTCATATTTAATAATTAAGTAAGCTGTTTGCGACACTTAGTGTAGATAAAAAGAAATCACACGAACGAAGAGGGTGTTTTCTTCCTACGTAATTATGTGGGAAGCTATAGAGTTTCAAATACTTTTTCTCTGTTCCATTCCACTCCATTCAAAACAGTATACTATAAACAAGGGGTAAAAGTGTGTGACACACTTTGTCCTGTGTTACATACAACGCTATTTTTTGCAATGAGCAGCGATGGCTGATGCGCATATATTATTAGGTATCCTGATACGTTACGTTGTAATCGTTTACGATTCGGATATGCGAACGGTTTATAGACAATAGATTTTTTAAAGAATTAAAGGAGTTGAAATAGCTGCCTCGGACAGTTACTTAGAAAGAAATGAAAGTACACGCTGGTCTTTCTCGTTTTCGTTAAGATAGTCACTTTGCAGAGTCTCGGAGAGATATGCTAACAAAACAGAAAAGATGACTGGAAAAACAAACCAGTGAACACAGTTAAACATGCGGCAAAAATTTAATGAGCTATTCCTTGGACTATTCTAAGGATATTTTGTCCTTCGATGATTTTTGATCTGAATAAATAAATAAAATAAATGACAGGAAAATATACAGGGTGTTCCATTTAAAAAAGTGAGATTTTTTAATATGAAGTTTTGTAACTTTGCATCTACAAAAAAACACCCTGTAAGCTATTTTTTTAATGTTTCATAGTAGATGTATTTATTTGACTTTTACTTAAACCAGGATAGAAGATATAAAACCTGGAATCAAAATTTAATAATTTTGACAATATACTGACGCCATCAAATGCCCATTCTTACAAATCGAATTATCTTTAAAACTACTAGTTTTTCGGATATTAACCATATAATAAAATAGACGTACAATTACACGTAGAATTCAAAAATTCATTCAAATACAAGGGGTTCTATTTAAAAAAATGTACCATTTTGGCAGCCTACTTTGTGGGCGCACCCTGTATAATTCTAAATATTTTTTTTATTTTTTATTTATTTATTTTGCCTTTATTTTTGAGTGGGCGGGGTTTCAGCCAAGGCTGCTCTACCAACCCAACCCACTATACATTTACAAATATCCATGCCCGAACCCGGATTCGAACCAGGGACCCTAGCACCACAGTCCAGCTTTTAAAATGTGGAGAATATTCAACCATATCATAATACAAAAGCACTCTATCGAAAAATCTTATCTTCAAGGCATTAAGTTACTCCGCGCAATCGTTGACTCGCCCTGTACTTGTCTTCAACCTGTTACTGTAAATAATACTGTTGCCAGGTTGCACTAAATCATTACCGAATTTTTGAACTATTTGCATTTTGACCTTACATGTAGTTAGTGATAACCATAACTTTGAATGCCAATCAATATTTAGGAGTGACATTGGTCATTAATTAAATAGCACAAATGTATATTTCTCCACGTCATATCAACAAAAGAATCGATGTTTTTCGAGCATTCGAAGACGCACACAATTACAAAGCTTAGCTCAAGATCGAAAACAGCTTACATAAATAATACTACAGCTTGACTTGCGATTATGAATTGTATAATACGAGATCTAAGCCACCGTTACAAAAATTATATACCCTATTACTAGAGTGCGGATAAAAATGCATTTATTTTTATAAAATAAGCGCTTATTATATGCATCAAAACCGGCAAAAAAAGCTAAAAAAAAAGGCAAAGTAAGCAAACAAATGCACAATCAACCATCCACACAAAAAACCTGTATTCCTCAATAAAATCACGATTATGATGAAACTAACTCTAATTATCAGAAAAACAATTAACAATTAGTCCAGTCAATAGAGACCTAAATACGGGAGTTTAGTCAAAAATTTGGTGTCCAAGAGGTTATGACTGATTCTTATGTATTTTTTGGCGTAGATTCCGAATTTTTAATCTCCCACCAACCTTAGGGGGTGGGAACCCCCCCAAAATGCAAAAAACCCCAAAATTTCGGCCCAAAATTCAGAATTTTGGAAAAATCTCGCTAAATTTAGATTTTTGGCCCAAAGTACCTTAGTTCAAAATTAAAGTACACAAAATTTGCAGGAAAAGTGATATATACACTTTTGGTCTAGGACCAACGGGGGCGGAGATAAGAGGGAGGTCAAAAAAGGGTACTTTGTTGGAAAACGTGAAAAAAACGGAATTTCTCTGAATAACTCTCTAAATGTTGGTTTTAGAGAAAAAACTCAAAGGACCAAAATGAAAGTAGACGAAAAATTACTTCGGAAAGTGCACGTGTGCGGAGCCGATGAAGGGGGGGAGGAGGGGGGGGGGGCGAGCGCAAAACCTCTCTTCCTGGCGCCGCGCGACGGCACTGGCATAAGGCGCTATACGCGCAGTTTCGGGTATCTCTGGCGGCCTCGGTCCGGGTCATAACGGATGCTTCTTTGTCCTTATTTTAGAAAGGGGCCTCTGGCTTCCCCCTCCCTCTTGTTGGTCGTTTGTATGCTTTTTGTGTCCTCTGGAAACCAGTTCAAGATCCTTCTTCAGTGCGTCTGTGTTGTCGCGTCGTGCGCATCACGCTATATTGCTCCGTGCTTATTTACTATTTTTCGCCTGAGCCAGTAGAGGTTGAGTTTTTATTTAAAGATGGCCTAAAAAAGTGCGAAAGTAACGTTTCTTGCTGTCCGCCATGCAAATCAGAATTTCAGACAAATACTACAATCTCCCCCAAAAATTGTAACTCGAGCACTAAATAAACAAGTACAATGCGATCAAAAATGATTGGCTCTCTAGTCGCCTTTGGAATTTTTGTTTACATGGGAAATCGTATCTAACTTGAACTTCCAAAGGCGACTCGACAGCCAATCATTTTTGATCGCCCGATATAAATTGTGCACAACTCCTGTGCAGATAAAGCGCATTTTTTTAACCGAAATAGCTTTTGTATGGACATCACCAATGGATACATTTCTTGCAGACGTTTCAATCGCCCTTTGATAGTACCCTCTTCCGACAATCCGTTCTTGAGGTATAAGGTAATATACCCGATCACGATAAGAGGTCGAGGAGGAGGGCTATGGTTGGTAGAAATTAATTCCTTGCGTTGAGACCTTTCATTAGAGTACCATGAAGGTTAAAACTAGTTTCACTCTCTCCCCTCGAGAGTATATGCAAGCGAACAAACTCAAAACGCACAGGCGCGCGAGCACGATATTACAGAAAATTTCGGTAAAAACAACAAACTTTTAACCGAAAAATAGTAAATAAGCAGGGAGCAATATAGCGTGATGCGCACGACGCGACAACACAGACGCACTGAAGAGGGATCTTGAACTGGTTTCCAGAGGACACAAAAAGCATACAAACGACCAACAAGAGGGAGGGGGAAGCCAGAGGCCCCTTTCTAAAATAAGGACAAAGAAGCATCCGTTATGACCGGGACCGAGGCCGCCAGAGATGCCCGAAACTGCGCGTATAGCGCCTTATGCCAGTGCCGTCGCGCGGCGCCAGGAAGAGAGGTTTTGCGCTCGCCCCCTCCCCCTCCTCCCCCCCTTCATCGGCTCCGCACACGTGCACTTTCCGAAGTATTTTTCGTCTACTTTCATTTTGGTCCTTTGAGTTTTTTCTCTAAAACCAACATTTAGCGAGTTATTCAGAGAAATTCCGTTTTTTTCACGTTTTCCAACAAAGTACCCTTTTTGACCCCCCTCTTATCTCCGCCCCCGTTGGTCCTAGACCAAAAGTGTATATATTTTCCTGCAAATTTTGTGTACTTTAATTTTGAACTAAGGTACTTTGGGCCAAAAATCTAAATTTAGCGAGATTTTTCCAAAATTCTGAATTTTGGGCCGAAATTTTGGGGTTTTTTTGCATTTTTGGGGGGGTTCCCACCCCCTAAGGTTGGTGGGAGATTAAAAATTCGGAATCTACGCCAAAAAATACATAAGAATCAGTCATAACCTCTTGGACACCAAATTTTTGACTAAACTTTTCTCTATTGACTGGACTAAATTATATATTTGCAATTAAAAATTTTACCTTCGGTCCGATAAAATATTTTTATAGACGGAAAAACTTCTCTCAACATCTGCAGAGGTAATTGGTGCAAATTTAAAGACGTTTAATGGTGCTGTAGTATGTGCTTTTAAATCTTCAACGAAATTTCCGTTTAGGCTTTTGGAGATTTTCGAAAGAATATGAAAACCAGAATTTTTTGTTAGTACGTCCTCTAATTTCTTCTGAACTGTATCGGCTATTGGACCGCTTATCTTATTTGTCTCTTTGAAAATCTACGATTTTAATTGATTCGTCAAGTGGCAAATTTTGGGATCCTAATTTTTTACAGTGCATTAAAAAAATACAAATCCCAACATTCTTGCCCACATTAAGTTAATATGCGAGATATTATTCTAATCTCAGTGTAGAAATGTAAAAAAAAAGCCAGGAAAAGCGTTTAAAGGCATTTAAAGCACCAATGTTAAAAAACAAGCAAAAAAGGCAAAATAAAAATAACATCAAACGCTTTCTTTTTTCATGAAACGTGTATATCCAAAACCATTATGTTCTGCATTCAACATTAACGTGTAGGCAAAATGCCATAAATCCGCACTCTACCTATTACTAATCTGCGAGTAATAAACTAATAGCGTGAAGCATAAGAAAATTAACTTGGATAGTACGTGAAGGTTGCGTGCTACAATTAGTTAACCAATTCAATTTTATAACGGCAAAGTTTTCCAACCATCAACAGTAATTTCCCACTTCAGCTAAAAGCTTAGATTCCGATTAAGATACACTTACAGTGGACGTTAAGTCTCCACTTGTCCTCGAGGGCACTGTCAGAGATGGACGGGTTTTCTGCACGACAGGTCAAGTATTTGCCGTCGTCATCGATCACAGGTACAAAAGTCAAAATACTTAAACTCTGATTGTTCATTTCTGAAAACTAGAACAAAATGTATCAGCACAAAGGAGCTTAGATTTCCAATTAGTAACATACAAATTGAGAAAGCCAAGCGAGATTTCATTAAAACAAAATGAGCCCGTTCGCTTGTTTTCAAGGGGAAACAACTTCCTTAGAAAAAAATACAAATAAAAGGCAAAATTTTATTAAGCTTTTCTAGTATTTTTGCTGTTAGCGTTTCCTGAATTCAGGCTTTCCTGGAATAAGTCGACTTGTAAGCTTCTTTCTCAACAGAAAATACGGCTCTTTACGCAAAAAAGGTAAATTTATTTTTAAAATACAATCAAGAACGCAGTTCCTGCGTGCGTTTTTCAATGCTTTTACTTTAAAACTTTTTTTATTTGTTAAGGGAATGAATGGAAGCCGTGAATGTACGATTATAAATCTCTCGACTACTTTAAACGCGTTAGCTTAAAAAGGAACTTAAGGACTAACAAACTGGGGTAATCAATAAAGATAACGAATAATAAACCCACAATATGGATTATGAAGAGGTGAGGGAGAAGCGAAGGTATAAATTACACGGCGCGCATAAATTCCCGTATGTAACAAGCGAACAAATTTCTTAAAAAAAATTAATTAAAAGTTTTAAAGGGGAAAAATGTGAATCCTGTGGTATACTTACATTTTTAGCTAACCGTTTGATAGGCCTACTGCCTTTCCACCACGTAATCACAGCTTCCGGGCGTGATCCCGATGTTCTACATTCAATTTCGTATCTTTTATCCGCCGAAACTTGTTTTTCTTTGGTTAAAATATGAACAGTCTGTGGCTTAACTGCAACAGAGATGAGGATTTTATGCATTAACTACTGAAGTAATTACGAGCAATCAGAAATGACAGACATTAAATCCTCTCCAGTAATTTAGGCAAATTATTAAACTCGCATATAATCTAAGTACATGCAAATTACTATTTACATAACTTGTTGCACAAAATTACTTTCGTTGATATTCAAATTTAGAAATGTACATGTATATTAAACTTTAGATCAAAAGAGAGCCTTATCCAAAATGCGAGTGTATTTGCTTCGTCGTAAGTTTTAACGCAACTTCATTTTATCAACCTTAATTAAATTACGAGTTAATTTCACCATGATGCAGTTTCCGAAATGTTATTAAATGTGTCTCGGAAAATACTGCATAACGAATAACCTCGCAAACAAAATAATTAACCTTCCTTCGGGTTTCAATATATTAACTCATTGAGAAGTCTCTCAGAAATTGTGGTTAATGAATATACCTAAGTAAATGTAATTTTCATTAGGATGATCCACCAAAACTCTTCGCCTCCTCTGCTTAAATTCCGTGTAAAGTATTTCGCGAGTTCGACAAAGAGATTTTGATTGATTTTTGGTAAAGCTATTGAAATAATTCTACCCAACTAAAGTAGAACTACTAAATAAGAATTTTCCTACACCTTAGTACTTAGTACTTTTTTTTGTAATTTTTATGAGAAAGGCTTATGGCGCTGCAAATGTACATTTTTTGTTTAACTGAATGTGAGTATCATTAAATATGCCAAATTGTTGCTTTTATTTATTTTGAACAGACATTTAAGTTGATAAAATTTGCAGGTGTTTTTTGTATAAAATTATTTGTTAGGCTTGTGGATTAGACACATTGATAACATTTTTGTGGACTTGATAAGTATTTAAGTACGGTGAAATTGTGCGTCTTGGGGAAAAGAAAGTAGACGTGGGGAAGCAGATTACGTGTAGATCTGTTCAGAGACGTTCGAACATTCTCAGTTTTGGCGCCATATGAATTCCCACCGTTTACGACATTGGAAATTAAATTCGACTCCAACTTGCATAATCAACAAACCTTTCCTAACTAATCTAGGAGCTAGCCCATGTCAGGTGTCCAGTTGTACGTTCCCTAAATTTGGTTGCGGAGATTTGTTAAGGATCTATGGGAGTATTAATAGTTATTTACATACAATTCAGGAAAATGGCACATTACTGGCGAGGAAATATTGGAAGTACGAGGCCCCTTTGAGACCGAGTACTTTAATTTCCGACGCAAGTAATGTCATTTTTTACTGACGAGTTTTGTATTAAATTTTACCCGAAATCTAATTTGTGTCTGTAAGGTAGAAACTCATCTATGGCGTTCTTCAATTAATAAGATGACCGGTGGACCTCCCGAAATGAATCTTACTTGCGCAATATTGAGAGAATCCTAAATTCGGTGGTTTCTACTCAGAAATATCGGTGTAGAAAGCACAATTCGGTAGGTAATAATGAGGATAAAAGTAAGCCAGAAGTAAGAAGCCTAAAAATGGTTATTCAAAAGATGCGTAATTTTTGTTAACGTACCGAATACGGCCTTAGAACGTGTAAAATACATCTGCAAATGCGTCATCGAAGTGTCGAAAGCAAAATAACAAGAGAAAACTTCACTAAACTTATACAGCATCAATAAAAATCCCAAAAAGGCTGAAAAAAATTGTCGAGCAACTGTAATGGCGTATAATCTTCTGCAAGTAATGATCGAATCTCGTCTTTGTAAAAAGAAGTGCGTGCACCGAAAGAAATTAAAGAAAACTGCACGTCTTCCGTCGGTAAAACCAAGAACTATGTGAAAGAAACGTTTACTAAGATAATAACAAATCTACTACAGGAACAATTTACATCTAAACTAGTGGATTACAAAGAAGATAATTATAAATATAAATTATAACACAATGTTCACATAAAATGAAGCTATTTGCGATGCGAAAAATGTATTGATGCTCTAGAACCGTGTAAAAAACTTAATCCGTTGGACTATGGTTACATATAGAAATGACGGTATTTTAATTAAGTGATAGGTCCAAAGAACCTTGAAGATTTTACATATGTAATTACCAGACGTGCTTCAGAGAAATGGCATGTCTTTGTAAAAAGTTGGAAATAATGTGTTGGGACTATTGTAAACGTATAAAGGTAGTGTTTTGGACCAATGCGAGAACTCTTATACACAAGTAATTTAAAGAAGTAGTATTACATTTTCAATGTTGTTTGCCTTCAAAAAATCAATAAAACTTTCTTTAAATAATTAAAATCGAGGCATTGTGTGGGAAGATATACTTAAACAAAAAATTTCATTCGCTGCCTTCTCCTGCAAAAAATCACCAATTTCGCTTTGATTCTGAGGACTGAATAGAATTTGTCAGTTCTTGCAATCATTCTCGACTCCAATGAAGTTCGTTCGGTAAATAGCTGTTTAAGGGTAAAAAGCAGTGATTTTATTACTAATTTTTTTCAGAGGACAACCACGTATTTTAAGTTACACTGAACATTTGCAGCGTGTTTTTTTTTTTAAATTTCTATTGCAGGATCGAAATCTTGCTCCGAATTTAATTACACTCGGAAGGAAATACTTTTTATCGAGCACCTGCAGTTTGAACTTGATGAACAGCATAAGACACCACTGGAACATGGTTGGATAGAGGAAGAAGGTTCTTTCGTTTTTAAATGGTTTGAGGGAGATCAACTTCCGGACCTTGTCAGCGATTTGGTGGAAGAATCTCCAGGAATTCTATTAAAAAATACTTGATTCAATTTGCAAATTTAAATTTTATGGTTACAGGTACCTTGACAGATACAGATATGAATATGAACATAAAGGAAGACAAGCACCTATCTAACGACGAAGAAGATGATCTTGATGATGCTGATAGGACTTTACTGTAATAAATATATCGAACAATATATATTTTTTTAAAAGCAAAAAGCATTAGTTTTGTATTATTGAATGGTAAGAAAAAAATTAATAACTTTTGTTCCTGTTGAGCCACTTTCCTGAAAATCAGTAGCGGCCGTCCTTAATGTCCAAAGTACCCGTATACCAAATTTCAACACGATCTGCCACTTTAAAAAAGAGATAGCGCGGACGGACGGACGGACGACAATACAAAACTATAAAGGTTCTGAGGAACCTTAATAATAGTAGGTAATAGTAAATTCAAAAACATGCTGATTAAACTGACAGAAAAGTAAGTACCTACTTACTGTACACATGTATACATATGCTCGAGCGGTACTTTATCTGTCTGCCAGATTGTTATAACCGAAGAAAATGTCTGCCATGTTAAATGTAAGCTAGAAATACTGTTAAGAATAACATATTTAAATTTCAGATTTACTGAAATATTTTTATAATTAATTTTTTTCTCAATTTTGAGAAGCGTCTGCCGTGCCGTCACAACCGCCATCGTGATTTTCCAATAAAAGAAATGACATAATTTAAAAAATGTCAATAGCAGCTTTACTAAAATACTTTCGAATATGGTGTAATTTTATTCATTTCATTCATTTTATACAACAATAACCCAACAACTAAACTCTAAAGATAAAGAAATTGTACATAAAAAACACCTGCAAAATTAATTTAAATATTAGCAATAAATTTGTATACAGGGTGACAATTTAAAAACTTACCACCCCTCATATCTTAGTAAATAAACGAGATACTTAAAAAAATCAAAATCCGTTTCGGTAATTCGGAGGGGGAATCACAATGACATAGTTGGCGACGCACCCCCTCCAACCCCCTGCGCCCCAGGCACCCCAACTTTTAAATCTTAAATAGTGACCCCCCATGTGTGATACGTCGTTGGAAAGCTCTGAAAAAATGCTTTCCAACCATACCAAATAGCATTACTTTTAGGTTAGTAATTTATTGTGAAAATCAAAAAATAAACTAATATGATACATTTGAAATCTGTCGTATTTAAAACGCAACCGGCGAACATAGACGAACCAAGACAGATAATAATTCAAGAATGTCAAAATATTGCAAAACCAACATTTGAAAAGGTTCGACAAGAGTTTGAGAATAGATTAGAACTGGCGATCAAAAATGAATTGCTGTCGAGTCGGCTTTGGAAGTTCAAGTTAAATACGATTTTCCATGTTTATTTTTTGATTTGCACGATAATTACTAACCTAAATGTAATGCTATTTGGTATGGTTGGAAAGCATTTTTTCAGAGCTTTCCAATGACACATGGGGAGTCCCTATTTAAGATTTAAAAGTTGGGGTGGCTAGGGCGCAGGGGGTGTGAGGGGGTGCGTCGCCAACTATGTCATTGTGATTATATAAACATAAAAAATACACGCAATCTAAAATTCTATTCTTAAAATAACGGTCGTGGGCCTACAAAATCCGATTCTAGAACTGGTACTACACTTTTCTGTCAGTGTCAGTTATGATAAGTAGTAGCCCTGAAATTCTGAGTGACATTTACACATTTTTGTTCTTTTGTGCGAGTCATACTGGGCATCCAGTTGACTGATACCGCACTGTTATTCGGCAGACGGGTAACTTTTCAAGAGCAGAAATGTCGATAATCAAACAATATCAGGAAAAAGTGAAATTGACTTCAAATGTTTGCATAACCAGGTGAATTTTATTGGAAAAAAAAATGGCCGGGTAAATTTATGATAACTGTTTCTAAATATCATTCAGTTTAAATACCTGTCGCCTTTATCATACTTATACACGCGGGTCGTTCCATATCTGAGTCAAGAAGTTTACATCTAGAGGGTAAAGATAAGTTAGTTGCCTAAAACTAACAATTTATCGTTTACGATTGCGAGCTTAAAGAACGATTGAAAAAACGGTAGTGCAAAAATGTTAAGCTGTTATCGCGAATTCTAAAAAAACTAAAAACTTATGTTAAAAATCTAAACGTCAAATTCTATAATAGGACACAACCTCATCTTAAAGTTAATCTTTTTTGGCTGTAAGCAATAGCCAAAGTTTGAAAGCCTTAGAGCCTTAGAGTTTACAGAAAATGTGATATTTAAACACTACTCTACCATACCAGGCCTTAACCAAACATTCTTTTAATGGATAATTTCATATTTAAAAGACGGTGCAGATCGTGATCTACATGTAATTAGGATTTTTAACAGCAACCGTAGAAGTTAGGATTTTTGATTGATACAATCTACAAGACTGTATAAGTTGAAAATTCGCGAGAATTTATCTACTACACACTCTAATACCGCCGATAAATTAAATTGTGTGATAAAGCATAAATTGAGGGGGAAGAGGAACATGTTCTATGAAACTTATTAAATGAGATGTCATGCTCTGTGTGAATCGATAGAGTTATGGTCAGAGGTCTCAGCGTGCGATGAGGATTAGCTACTCGAGTAATAATACAAGTGCTAGATACGATGGGAGATTTAAGCTTAGTTATAAATTGTTTTATTATTATTAATCCCGAGCAAATTACAATCATTATTCTATATTACATGGAGTATAGGAATTTTTGAATTAATGTACCGCCATTTGTATCCTTCATTATTGAATATCGAGCGTTCATTAAAACTAATATTCGCGATGACAAAATGTCACTCGATATTCATCAATATGGTTACGTGCAACTCATTATGTTGCCAAGGCTCGTTTTACGGTGTAGTATACTTACGATTAATATTTAATATAACTACGTTTGTTGTGGGAGACGTGAGAATGGTGTTGGACGCCTGGCAAATCAGTCTTGTGTTCAAGTGTTGGCGGCCAACATTGGGAAAATTTAAATGATTGACTACTACCCCATCGGGCCTAAATTCGAAAGAATCATCTATTAAAGTATTTTCGGAATACCACGTCACGTTCGGCCTGGGGCGCCCTGAAATAATAAAAAATTGTGAGAGCATTTAATAAAATTTACAGTATCGTTCATTCAAACATGACACATCCATATTTATAAATCTTTTGAATAATTTCCTGTTTCGCGTAAATGCTTTCGACAAGCGTTTTATCTATACAATCGTGATAAAAGCTTCGTTAGTACTATTTTGCTTTCATCCACTTAATCAAACCGCCGTCAAAACGTATTGACTACAATTTTAAATAAATCAAATATTCGCACTGCGCATAAGGAAGCCTTAAAATGTGTAAATTTGAATTATTCATAACGTTTCTTGAATAATAAGATAAACAACACTTACATAGAATTGCAAAGCAATTTCGTTAAAAACGTCCTGTTTTAAGACTCGATATAACCAAATTGCTTTCCTTTAAAATTACTTATATTTAAATTTAATTTCGTCTAAGTGAATGAAACGTTATTTTACCTCCATTGGCTTCACAGATAAGATTAACGTCCGAACCTTCGTTGTAAGCTTCTAATAAGGTGGTTCTATCTCTTCTTTTCCCATCATATATAACAGGTCTATTAGGAGGGACTGTAATAAAAACAATTTATGATAATACGATTGTTCATTAAATCGATTGTAAGAAACTAATTTATTTGTGCTCCTGCGTAACCTTTCGCCATACTTTTTTTCAGGAATTGTGCATAGTATAACGATCGGTATAAATTATGTTTCAATTTATTACCGAAATTCGAAACTTCATAGAAAATTATTTGCCTCATAAAATATGTAAAGGGACACTTGAGGTTTCGTTTGCAATCCCAGTTCGATTTAATTTTAAATTTTATAAGAATAATAGATAGGAAAACGTCAGCGAAGCATAAAATGAAGGAAAGTTCAATTCAGTTTTCATATGTTGATATAAAATTTTGTTTGAAAAATATGAAAAGGTTTTTTTTGTGAATTTTTTGAATATCGAAGTCGTTTATACTTATAAATTCGCATCTTGGTTTAAAAATTATTTTTAATAATGTTACCTTATGAAAAATTCGGTTCCATTTTGCTATCTGCAGTATGAATTTATCGTAATAGGGAGGATGGCATATATCTGTATAATAATCTAATCTTAATTTAGCG